CATGTGTAAAGCTTGTAACAGAAGGGGTAAATGCAGGCCCCTGACATGTGGAAGGCATTTAAGTGCTTGCATAAAGGACAGGAAGAGGGGGAGAGGGAGAGTGGAAACATCAGATATGAAACAGAACCCTGGAAGAGATGCTGTAGGTTGCCTAAGTAAGGGGGTACCAAAAGGGTTAAGTAGGCATTGATGCCCAGCTTCTGGAGAAGGCTGACTACTGGGGTCTCAGCTAGAGAGTCATCTCTCTGATCAGCTGCTGTCCCATCCACTTTGCAACGTGCCTCCGAATTCCGCGATAGATGCTACCAGGGTTTCTGCCAACGGCACAGCTGTAACCAGCACTTCATGGCAACAGCTCATCCTCCTCTTTGGGGGCTCAGGGAGCCCACAGTCGTCTTCCTGTAAGTGAATCAGTTCTGCGTTTCTGCAGTGTATTCCTTACTCATCCTTTTGTACAAGCTGAATGACTCCTCCTTCCCTCAGGCCTGCAGGACATCCCCAAACACAGTTGTACACAGTGCTGCTGCTCTCTGCCTCCCCCCGGCACAGATGGATGTGGGAAACTCCCCAGTAACAAACACCAGCCGAACAGACCCAGCAGACACAGTTTGCATACCTACACTTGTTACGGCCCAGAAAACTGGGCTGTTTTAACTAGTTACTGTTAAATTCTAAGATTATGTTCAATTAGTTACAAAAAAAGTCGAAGTCTGAAAGAAATGTTGTCTTCTGATAACTGAAAACTGCATTGCTACCTTTTTCATTTCTTTTTTAATTAGCAGAGGAGGAGGGCAGACAGCATTTGGATTCACGGCCAAGTTGCCCTGTTTGCCCACAGGACAGCACTAACGGCGCTGTAACTTGCATTTTGCCCAACATGGATCTCGGGTTATAAACACACCATACACCTTATCCCCTGCATCAATAAAAGAAACAGGGCAGGCACTACAATTAATTTTGTTCCATTTAATTCTCTCCCAAAAATGTATCACAAAGTCCACAAGCTTATCTTGCTAAGGTGAAACTTGTCAACTCCCCTTTTAACTGACTCCAGCCCTGTAGCTTTGAAGATTCCTAGGGCAGTGGGGCACAGAGCCGAGCAGATTTCTCAGGAACTCTTGTGTATGTGTGGGGGGCGGAGAGCAACGATTGCAGTCCCGCTGTAGCTTTTTGCAACCCTTTCCAATGTCACAGTGACCGGCAGTTATTTGAAAAGGAAGCTTCCAGCTGCCACTATCTTTAATTTGCAGCTCTTACCTACTCCCTGAAAGAAGCCTGCTGGGACTGGTATGCATCCTTATTAAAGCTGTGGGAACGCTTTTTTATGTTTTTAAATACTCGGTTTACATGACACTTCTGATCTTGTGATGATTACACAGAAATTCTCGTTAGGTTTGCCTTTCACAGCTAACGAGCGCTACTAAAACAAATTTTATACTTAAGCGATGGGATGCGTGGTACTGGAACTGGAGATGAGTCAGCAGTTAGCCAAGGTTATTTGAAGAGCAGTATAAGCCATGCCTGCCGCCAGGAAACGGCCCACAAAGGTCACACCAAGTGTCAGTAGTTAGACACTACCACCCTGGTGATACAGATTCTCTTAAGACTCTCACGTTTTTTAACCAAGCATCATTCTATTTGACATTTGGATGTTGTGGTGTTAAAATACCCACTCCTTGGTATCCAGATGACAGGGAAGAATGCTTGACATCACTGGTAGTATTCGCAGTGAGGCACGCCTGCCAGACTGACATACTGCTCGCTCCCCATCCGGGCACTAAAATTAGATGCGGAGCCACAGCAGCCTACGGCTCCACATGTTAAAGCAGAGTAAGGGCAGTGAGAACAAGTGATTACCTATGCTGACCGCGAGCGTGGGGGGGTGGGGTGGGTGTGTGGTGTTAGGCCAGACACAGGATGTGTGAGACAGTTCCCTGGTGAGGCACTGCTTCTCACAAACAGCCCTGGAGAGGAAAGAGTTTACCAACAGTCCTGGAGAGGAAACGGTTTATAAGGTAAAACTCATTCAGCGTTCAGCTCTGTTGCCTCCGCAACCACAGGAAAAAAGCATACCAGCTCCACTTGTGAATCATAGCTTTTGGGAACTTCACCTTGAAGAGCAGGGAAGTCTTTCTTCAGGTAGAATTGATCTCTTTAATCCCTTCTGCTGGGATCACTGCCTAAACTCCTTCATTTACCAAAAAAGGGAAAAAAATAACTGCAGCACAATAAGAAACACAGCTGCTTGCAGTGGTTCCACCCTCCCTGATTCAATTGTTCAGTGGTTTACCATTCAGCCTGAATGTTGCAGGCCTACTTTTAATTCTCTCTTCTAGCTGAGAGGATTCAAGGCCACGTTGTTCCAGCCCTCCACTCAAGTGACCTAGCCACACAACAAATGAATTAATCAGAAAAATAAAAATAAAAGGAGGACTTCCCACTACAAACGCCTTCATGTTCTGCTTCAGTAAGAACACACGGGGGGTTCTGTGTGGCTCTCACAGAGACAGATTTTGCCAGGATTGAGAACTGCGGTTCATCTATAAAACCAGTGTTACTGGTTCCAGACAGACACAGGCTTTAAGGCACCTCCTGCCTCAGAGGTGAGCAGGGGTTTAAAATTTCTTTGCAAGAGAAATCCCAGGCCTCTGGATTACCCACCGAAAGTCCGTTTTTACTGGTTTCTCTGACATGCTTGTATCACAGCAATAAAAGCCACTAAACTTGAGAGGGTCAAACAAAGATGCTCCCGACCAGAGGGCTAAGAACAATAGCATTAGTGAACCGCAGTTCATCATCACAAGACCAAATGGCATACAGGGGTTGCTATACAGCAACACCCGGGCCCATAAGCAAGAAGTGGGGTTTAACAATTGGTTTATTGTCCTAGATAAATACCAGCTGCCCCACTCCAAGCCTCGTTTGTGCCACAGGTTTAAGTTTTTCATATGTAAACAAAGTTATGCAAACATGTAAATTTGAATTTGGGGTAGTTTTTCCAAGCTAATCTTACAAGAGTGCTCACTGAGATACTGAGAAAGTTATGAGCAGCGTACCTGGTTTCAGTTACAAAGGCAACCTTAAGGCCTTTCGAAAGCTACTCTTTTTCAAACACGCACCACATGTATGTCTGTACATACGTGACACTAACAACGTCTTGCAGATACTCTTTTCACTTTCTTTTGTAATGAATTATTACAGTCAAAATTCAGGGCATGCAGAAGCTGCAATGTGAAAAAATCCCGAGGGCGTTAGTCCCTGTTGTGGCAGGAGCAGAGCTTCTGTGGGAACTGCCCGTATTTCCCTCTGCAGGCTGCACCAAGTGAGCTCTTCCGGACTCGGAAAAAGCCCAACAAAAGGGGGCTGTGAGCCGTTTGCGCGTCAGCTCGGGGCTGTAATGCCACCTACTGCCGGCTGCGGAGAGCAGCCTGCCTCCGCCGCGAAGCGCGGCGGGTGTTGCAGACCTGCCCGCGGGGCCCCGGCAGGCAGGGAGCAGGCGGTCCCAGCTCCTGGGCTGCCGGGCACCTGGCCGACTTCGCCTCCTTCCCACACGGCGAAATCTGACTGGGACTGAAGTAGAGCAGAAGCTCCAGAGCCTTTTCTTACAGGAACCGGTGAATGACTTTTAGGGCAGTGTCCTTCTCAAAAGACAGCAGTCCTGGTAGGACAGGGTATTTCTAAAAAGAATCAATCACTGCCCTCTAATGAAACCGATTAGAAGTTGAGTTGCAACAGCAGCCTCCCAAGAAACAGAAAAATGCTCTCAGCCAAATGACATTTCTGAACTTAGTAACCTAAATTTTTAAGGGGTAACATCATAATTCCTAGAAGTGACAGGGGCAACTCTGATCACACTTTCTCTCAAGACCAAAAAGCCAGAACCACAAGTATTCGGATGATGGCCAAGTCGCTGTAGCAAATCTGCTACCCATACCATACCGCAGGATCTAGGGGATACAATCATGAGGAATGGAACAAAAAGGGATGCCCCCTTCTCACACACCCAAAGCACCACTCTCAGCAGAAGCTCTGAAATACGTATAATCAGAAATCGCTGTATATGGTTTCATCTGGAAAGCAAGAATAACATTTTCAGAAAGAAAACCAAAGGGACAGAGACAGCACACCTTGCTGCTTCATCCAGCCACGTTCTCACTGTGCTTTGAAAAAAGATGGGAAGAGGAAAGAAAGAAAAAAAAAAAAATAGTTACAATGAAATGTAATTAATTCTGTATTGTCAGTCCTGCAGATCGGGCGAGAAGCATCATGCTACTCACACGTGTTATCTTTGTCTAAGAAGACACTAGGATTTACCACATTAAGACTTCAAAAAGCAGTATTAATATGGCACTCAGTGGCAAGAAATGGAGGCGCCAAGTTGGTAAAATAACCCCTCAATTACATCCATAGGATCTAAATTTTTTAATGTGCAAGTCTAGGACGGAAATAATTCATTTACAATGCACTAAAATTTGAAGGATGGAAGCTTCTTAATTGTTTATGCTCACAGTAATGAGTGAAGTGCTCAGTTGCTGAAGTACAAAAATCAGTACGCCTAAGTGACTTATGTTTCATTTTGAAGGAAAAAATAGGTTAACAGCACAATTGCATACAGTTGCAAAAATATTTACAGATCTGATTAGGTAAATAGTTCACTTCTAGAAGGAAAATTTTAATGACATACTTAATATAGCAGTGTTTTATCTGAAAAATTACCATTAAAATGTAAAAATCTAGCTAGGATGAGTGGCACTGACATTTTTACCTGGGCCTCCACCCTCGGGGATCTTTGTCCCTTAACTTCTATCGCTGTAATCTGTCCTCTCTCCCTGCCCATTTCCAGTCTTACTACACAGGTGCAGGTGTGCCTGAGCAGCCCCAGAGTCCACAGAGGAAAAAGTGGGAATGTTAAAAACGTAGCCAAAAGGTCCCAACAAGAATTAAAGAAAAAAACACATCCTGAGAAATAAAATTACTTGGGGGGGTGGGGTCGGGAAGCTATCCACAGGTATGAGGAGCTTTGCTCAGTCATCCTTGTCTTTTGCTCCGTGTTTCAGGATGCGCGTGAACTCAATGTAGTTGAAATTCCCCTTTTTGTCGATGGGCGCCTCTCGGTACAGCTCATCCACCTCTTCATCCGTGAACCTGTCTCCCATTGTGGTCAGCAGCTCTCGCAGGTAGTCCTCCTGGATGAACCCTGGAATGCGATGCGCAGAGAGGAACACAAAAGGGAAGCTGTTTCCTTGGAAGTCTCCCAAAGCAGTAAGGCAGACATACCGACACATGCAATTAACTAATACAGCATCTCGTTGATCCACTTGCACCAAGAGCCCAAAACACTTCCTTAACTGAATCCTAAAGAAATTCCTTGAATGCAAAGGGGAAGGGGCGGGGAAGCTTGACACGTTTCATGCAGATTTTTGAAGAGAGGGCCTGATCTGCTGTGACCTAGTAGTATCTCCTTCCATCTACTGATCTTCAACAGCTCAAAGTGGAAAAACAAGTTCCTGCCACTGCTAGTTTTTATTACACAAGCTGTTCTGTTAATTGAATCACATTTTTCTTGACTTAATTAGATATATTTGTGCATCCTCTATAAACTAGTTTCCTCTGGGGACTAAATAACACTGGTTGGCTCTTCACTGCAGCACAACACTGTTGCTGGAGGCGGTTTACATGGATGCAGTGAATTGCTGGCAAGCGTCCAAGGAAAGAGTTTATACAGAAAAGACTTTCAGGCAGGATTGAGCAAGTTAACTCAGGAGGGAGGAGTAATGTTTACTGTGGAGGGGTAGAGGCGGAGAAGCTAGTCAAAAAAAGGTGGGATATATTAAGTCATTTATTTGATATTAAAATATTAGCAGATTATGAAGGAAATTAACAAAGATATTAAAATGAGCAAGTTGCTAACTATGTTCCGTTAAATCAGCGGCAATAGATGGGCAGAACCACCAGTTGCCAAATTAATTCCAGGGAAGTTGAGAGATTAAAAAAAGGAATGTGCATAACAAAGGATAGACAGAAGAATGCAGACACTGCTTAATGTTGAAATAAGACCTACTGTCGTTGAACCACCTACCATGCCTTTAAAGGCACAATAGTTGCTTCATTTGAGAAAGAAATCAGTTACTGAACTTTAGCTGGGGAAATAGCAAGAACAGAACAGAGGAGGTAGAAGTATTCCAAAACCAAAGACATGTAAACGGTGCAGAACAGCTGGAAATCATATGTAGACACCCACATCAACGGATGTAGATTCAATTAGAATGGGATTTAAACAACAACCAAAAAAATTTGGAAAAACAGTTCATTAGAGAGACAAAACCAAACAGGGAATCAGGGGACCAAAAGGCAGTCAACGAGCGTGACAAATTATCACGGGGTTGATCTGTGCTGCAGGGAAAGGAAGAAAAGCATGTTACAACATCTGCCAATTAAAACAGCATCATACTGCAGGACAGACAAGCCCTTGACTACAGATTCCAAATGAAGACGACCATCAGCAATGTTTTACTTGAAAAACAAGGAGAATGTTCAGTTAGCCAAGCCCATCTTAATCGGGCTAAATTTTGGAGTTGTCTCTTCACAGATGTGCTTAAAGAAGGGGAAAAAACAGCTAAAGGATTAGGCGCTCTATTTCTGCAGTCCCACTGAGACCAAGCAGTGATGAGAGATGACACAGGATTAGTATTCAAAGAATGCAAGGCCTTTGGTGCTGCAAGTTTAGCCTCAAGGACTTAACGGCTTCTGCCTGAACAGCCAGATGTTAAAACACTGAACTAGGTTGTCAGCGTAGGAATATACTCAAAGTTTTAGCAGCACAGATTTGTAAAGCAAACAGTACTACCACTCTCCCTCACACACCGCTTCAACGTACACGGGGAGCTACAAATTAATGAAGCAAAATTTCAGCCTCAGCCTGTGGCAGACAGCACAAACCAGATGACAATGCAGGATCAAAGAGCAGAGAAAAGATATACTCAGTACAGACTGATAACACTTTTGTACTAACTTCATAGTAGTACATACGACAGCAATGCTGAAGGTATATACCCAACGAGACTGGCAATACAGGAAAGGTAAGTAAAACCCCACAAGTATAACTACCTTATCCTCATCAAGAGGATCTGATTTGTATTATTCTCTTTCAAAAGAACTACACTGATGTAGAGTTAGAAAATCAGCCCCGTAACACACACGTCGATTATGGAGTGAAAAAAAGGAAAACAAACAAACAAACACAACAACAACAAAAAACCCACCACAGAAAAACGTTTGACACTGCTGGAAATGCTTTTTGTTCTTTTGTAAAACGAACAAAATGATCAGAAGCCAAACCTGAGAATAAAATTAATAAAAGGCAAACATAACATGGCTTCTACAAATACTTCACGTGTTATTCTGAAGACTGCATTTTGACTATTATGAATCAAAAATCAATAAAAAAGCATAACTATCTAACATGGTTCCTTGGATAAAATTTGAGGATGGCATAAGACACAAAAGAGACTGTGGAACCATTATCTTCAATCATCCTAGGACTAGACTAAAACATTTACCACACAAGAGCTGAAAGATAATAAAAATCAATCTTATCAGTACATGAGGGCCTGAACTAGTAACTTATTGTTTGCATAGACGTAGAAGGTTACTGTTCAAAAGAACTGGTAGCACAATCATTTTCTTTATATCCTAATTTGCAGGCTCTGGTTTTGAAAAAAACCCTGCAGCACAGTGAGTCAGACTACCTGTGGAGAGAAAATAATTAACCTACTAACAAAACTTCCTTCTCTAGGAGATGGTGAAGAGATTTCCCTTGAGAGGGAGGAAGTCAATTAACATTTGAAAAGACCTTACCAACAGAAAGCCTGTTTACCTACCCC